TTTTAATTTACTATAGTTTCATAATTAGAAAAAAAATAGATATAAAAAAAAATAAACAAATGCTAATATTATTTTTTATAATCTGTTTTGATATATATTTGTTAATATTATTTATAATTATAATATATATAAACTATTAATATTGAATTTAATTTAAATATTAAATAAAACATTATTGGTGATAATGTATTTATTTTAAGTATGAAATTAAATAAAATTATTAAATCTATGAATATCTACGAATATATTATATAATAATATATAAAACTATTATAATAATTGTTATAATTTTATAATAATTGAAATATTTTTACATTTTAATTTAAATGTAAAACATTGTCTTGCAATAAGTTAAGATTTATATAGTCAATTGTAATCTGTGAATTTTTAATAGATGGCAGCACTCTCTAGGTAAAACTTAGAATTCTATAAACGAAATATTTAAAATTAAGTTAATTAATCATTAATTCTAATAATTAAATCATTTTCATATTATATCATTTTATTTATTTTATTAACTACATCAATTATCATTATATTATTCTTATGCTTATATTATTTTTATTTATATAAAAAATTCACTAAATTATAGAAATATATAATTTCGTTTATATTATGCAAAAATAAATCAATTTTTATTTGTAATTTTAAAAAATAAAAAGCATGAATTGCAATTCATTGGTAAATCTTTTTAGAATACCACTAGTAAAATTGAAATTTCTAATATAAAAGATAGTATAAAATTTAGCATAGTATAATGATTTCATATTGAATACGCACGAACATTTACTGCGATTACAAGTTGTCAAGGGTAAAAATACTGCAGTACTACTGCAAAACTTTTAATAAAAGCGTCAACGCTTCACATCAGTAATGTATTGTCAGTCACGTCATTTTGAATGAAAGAAAGACATTGACTTCCATCATAGTCTTCCCCTTTTTTGTGCAAAAGATTCATTATTCCCATTTGTTTAAAAATTTTTTTGAATAAATGCCAAAACTTATATTTATACTTATATTTTATTTTATATACAATTATATAATTATAGTTATTTATATTAATCCTACATTTCCTTTATTATTACTTCTTATAATATTTTGTTCACATTATATAAAACATATTATAAAACATACATTATATTCTTAAACATTATTTGTAAAATATAATTCACAAAATTATTTTTATAATTTATTAACTTTTTTCTTTATTTTTAAAAAAAAGTCACCTATTTTTTTATAATAAAACTTATATTATTATATAAATTATATAATTTATTATAAATTATATTATATAAATTTATATATATTATAAATTCTACATTGTAGTAATAAAAATTTAATAAAAATGTTATACAAGAAATTTTTATGAAATTTATTAACTTAAATAATTAGTTTTAAATTTATTAAGTTCATATTTATGTGATAGTTAAAATATATAATGAAAATAGTTTTGTCAGACCAGGCTTTATATTTTGAGTTGGACATTACTTTTATTTAGAAATAATAGAGAGAGAAAAAGTTAACTCGTAATAATATGATGCGATTGCTATCTATCGTATATTAAAATATATTTCATGCAGTAATAAAATATGATTTTTACGATTATAACACTAAATAATTTTTGTCATTGCATTATAATATTGAATTTTTTTTATTATGATATATGATGTTACGACAACGAAAATCATGACATTTAATATCGCGTGAAAAAGTATCTTAATACGGGTTTCGATAAACGGCATCTTTCTTAATTTTTTCTTTCTATTATTTCCAAATATGATATCAAGTTTCGATATAGAATCCTATCTAACAAGACTGAGTGATTGAACATTTAAAAACTTAAATGAAATATTACATAGTAGATTTATTATCATTTACTAAATAGAATATAATATTCATGTTGTTATCTATATTTGTGTTATAATGAAATTGAACAAATTCGAAAAGATTCGTACAAATTGTTAAGAAATAATATTTAATTACCTAAGATCTGATTATATATAACCTTACTTAGGATTTAATAAATTATAAAAGAATTATGAACTGTGTTAATTAAACATAAAAGCACTTTTTCATATTATAATTGCATGGAAATTTTTATCAAATTTAATATATTATTCAACTTTTTATATTATTCAGAATAATTAAATCAAAAAACAGTATCTGTGGATAATCAAAAGTTGACCATGATTTGTTCGAGCAGCATACTAGCACATTTAGTGAAACTCTTTGTGACACTTTGTTGTATGAAAACTCTCAATAATACATATGATAAAACAAGTATCTGGTCCTTTCGTGCCTTTCAAATTCTACTTTCACATGCCATAGTAGGAACATTCAGATTTGGTAAGAATATATTGATAATTAATTATATTTTATATCTTGACATTTGCATAACATATTTTTGAAGCAATATTATTTGTATAGAATTTTCTAATAATATATCTTATATTAATAAGTTAATAAAAGTCAAATTGAAAATTAATTAATATAAAACTAAAGAAAGTATATTTAATTTTTAAATATAAAACTTAAAAAATAAAATATATATTATATACATATATATTATATATATAATATTATAATCCATGAAATATATGCTATTTATGAAATATATAAAAAATAATTATATAAAAATGTCACTTATATAATAATTATTTATATTTTTTGAAGAATAAATTTCTTACCGATATATTATTTTAAATAATTAATATATAATTAAATATTATTAGAATTAATACTAATTTTATTTATGTTTTAAAGATATAAATATGTAATATAAATTCTAAAATCTTATAAATTTTTAATATTACTTATTATAATATTACAAATAATATTTTTATTACTTATACTTTAGTATTATAATGAAATTTCATAAAGATAAATGTAGATGAACAATAAGAATGATAAATTACAATAAACATAAACAAATTTAATATTTTATATTTTTACGAATTTTAGATCTTAGAGATATTTTAAAATTCTATGTAAAAGCAATTAATTCATATTATAAAATATAGCAACAATAATAATAATGTTTATACTTATAATAAAAAACATATTATATTTATATTATTTTAGCAATGTTATTTCCAGGAGTTCCACTTTTTACATCAGGAACTAATATAATAAAATACTTAAGAATCTTTTATGATTGGTACTCTAAGATAGTGGATGTTATACCATTGGCATTGTTTACTGGTGGTATCCTACAAGGATATGGGATTAGTGAAAAAGTCCGACTTATAATACTTTCATTGGGCATTTTGCCAGTATTTTTTCATTTACAACCAAAGCGAAAAGAAAACCAAATGAGAAGGCATCAATTATTAATAAATATTATTACTACTCTGCAATTATTAATGATTATGTTGATTGGTTTGAGAAACAATAATTACAATGTTATTAGTTTAGTTATGTCGTATATATTTGAACGTTTTTTTATTGATGAATTTTGTTATTATTATGATATTCCAAGTACTGATCTAACTCAATATTCTCTCTGTTTTGTAGAAATTTTTATGGTTTTGACATTGAATGAAATGTGATAAGAATATATATATGATAACATAAGAATATAAAATGATAAGAATATAATATTATACCTTTTATGCTAGGTTCGTAATGATGCTAATAAATAGCTGAAGAGCAGATCAAACGATTACAGGTTTGTTCATTTAGTTTTTGGATAATTTAATTTTTACATATTTTTACATATCTCTTTTTGTAAAAATATCTGGAAAATATTTATTTATAGCCATATATTTAATAATAAAAAATATTATAATAAAAAATGTCAATATTGATAAAAAAGAATTTTTATACGAAAAACAAATATAATAAAACAATGAACAATTAATATTTATTAAAAAATTAAAGTGGATTTAAAAATTTGAATTCATTGATATCTGAATAAACATTTTTATGTTCATTAATCAATTTAATGTTAATTGCTTGCTATTTGCAAAAATGTTTATTATTAACGAAAATAATGACGAAAATAATTTGCAAAAAGCAATATGAATTCAGCATTATATATTTACATAAAATAAAATTTACATATAATTATTTTGGATTTATAAGTCTTGTATGATAAATTCCCTAAAATCACAAAATGAAAATTTCTAGATAGAAATTTCTAGAATGTTGAAAAATTACTATTATTAATACAAAGTACATAAACTTTTTATGTGAATAGAAAATTAAATTTCTTAATAAAGTATTTTAAACAATTCTATTTTGTTCAAATTTATAAATTATAATATTAAATCCAATGCTATGATAATATGATAATAATATGACAAAGTTATGGCGGTAATATCGCGTGAAAACGTATTTTAACATACGCATCCGGGTAGGTGGCGTGGTAATCACCTCGTATTACTTCCTTCAGCTTTCTCTCCCTTTATTATTTCTAAATGAGTGTGACGTCAGATCTTGCGAATACAGAATCTTCTTGTCTGGTAAGGTTGACTGATTAAATCCATATTTTGGCAAAGTAACGAATAAAACATGCAATAATAAATCTCAATTGCTTGTGAATTTTATATCTAATATTGCATTTAACATCTGATTTATTTAAATTCTTGAAAGAAAGAACAATAAAATAATATTCAATGAAATCGGTTACTTCTCTCGCGGAAACAAATTTTCAAGGAATCGGACGTGACATGGCTGAGCGGCTTGGTTTGGGTTCTGAAATACGGGAACTCAAATTAGGACCAAGCTTTACAAACAATAGGTCGACGGCATTTCATACTTTAAAATGTTAGTATATAAATTTTTTAAATTTATAATCTAAATTCATAAGTATATTTTCAATTATTTTATTTTATATTATTATATATTTGAAAAAATACAAGAAATATAGTGATTGTTAATGTTGTATAATGTTGAAATAAATAATTAATAACTATAATATTGATTATAGATGATTTTAAACCAGCAAGTGTTGATGTTTCTAAAGTAGCAAGAGTTGATGTTGGAGCAAACAATATGATGACAGTTACTGTTCCACATTTAGATGGTGCTGGAATTCCTCATACTGTATTCAAAGGTTCTCAAAGACCTTACCATAAGGAATGTGTTCTGATAATTGATAGAGTTACTGGAGAAATTACATTGGAGAAATTAACAGCAAATATCCAAGTAAAAAAAACCAGGTATGTAATCTTTTTAAAATATCTTTTTAAAATATGTTGAATTATAACATGTACATATCATATTGTATTTTAGAACAGAACCAAAGTCTCAATCACATTTAGGAATTTCTGGAGGTAATAATAGTAATAATAGCAATAGACCTATAACTCCAGTAGAAATTAAAAAGAGTCCTACACATGGAAGAACAACAACAAGATCAAAAGTTATTAGTGGTAAAAAAAGAGAACCTAGTATTCAATTACATCCAAAACAATATAGCCCTCATAGAGTTTCTCCATATCATGGTAAAAGTCCACCTTCTACTTCAACTAATAGGTACTAAATATATTTTAAATGCAAAGAAATATCAGAAAATTTTGATTTTATTTTTATTTTTTTTTTATAATTTAAATATTTTTAATTTTAAAATTAAAATTAAAATTGAAATGTTTTTTAAAAAAATATAAACTAATTTAAAATCTTGGTTATATAGTAATGTTATATTAATATATTAAGATTCTTTTTAAACTTATTAAAAACACACAGAATTTTAGTTCACCAGTGCAACCATCAGTGGCGCATTCAGTGTTGGCCAGTTTACCAATGATTGGTTCTGATAATGATGACTGTCCTTTAACATCAACTGGATCATTTCCTGTTACAAATTCTTCGAGGTCATCATGTATCAATAATACTACTATTATAAAACCTTCTGTAACTATAGATAGCGATGAAGGTGCTCTTAGTGATTCTACTTCAAGTAGTTCTACAGAAAGTTCAGATAGTGATTCAGACACTGAAAATGTTCCAGTTTTAACAGGAACCAATGGTATATTTTCAACATAATTATTTCTATTAATCTTTATGTAAATATAAATAATTTTTTTTTTATGTTTCTTTTTAGGACATTTAAATAGTACTGCTTCATCTCCCACATGCTTAATGCCAGATAATCTTCTAAATGATGATTTACAATTATCAGAATCAGAATCTGATAGTACCTAATGGTAACATATATTTAATTATATATAATTTTCTATATTAATCTAATTATATTAATAATATCAACAAACATATTTCTATTGAACAGTGATTTTGAGGATTAATAAAAGATCTTTTAAAGATCTTTTCACTCCAAAAAGTTTATTTTTTCAACATTTTATTTTCTGTTATATTGAAAGATTTAGACGAAATAAAACAATTCAATTTTACTTCACATTATACACAAAACGTGTATAGTAAACTTGATAGCATCTTCCATATATTCAGTGTTGAAATAAGTTATAATATACAAATCTTTTGCTTTTTATGCAAAAAAATATATGAAATATGTAATGAATAGTAATATACTATATTATTTATAAGGTATTAAGGGATTGTACAATTATTGACTAATATTTAGTATAATTATATATTTCCTTATTTTCTTATATGTTATAAAAATCTTGCCAAAATGTTTTATATATATTTTCTAAGAAACTGGCAAATGATGATTATATAAATGATTGATTATAATTTTCAATTTGATTATTTTTTAAATCTAAATATTATATATAGTATAAGTGTGTATAATATACACATTTCTTTACAATCTTCTTATAAATATAAAATCATATATGATGTGTTGTGAAAAACAAAAATTAAATTTTTGATTGTATTATTTACAAAATATTTATTTAAATAGAATGTATAAATTTAATAAAATATCTATTATATTACAAATCTCTCTTATTATACACACACACGCACAATATATTTTTATTAATTTTTATTATAATATATATATATAAATTATTTTAATATAAATTTTCGTCAAATATAATAGAATTTTATGATTTTATTTATGAACTTTTTCAAAACTACTTAATGTTTTTGTTTTATATAAGTTACAAAATCATTTTTAACATCAAAATAATATATTTGATAATATTTTTGATAGCATTTGCATATACAATTTATGCTAGTAAACTATGTTTATAAGTTTGATAATCTAGAATCAATCTAGCAAGTTGACTACGTCGACCCAAATAACGATTCTTTAATTGTGTACAAAACATATTGATATTAGTGTCATCGACACAAGTAATGTTTGTATATCTTATTTTAAGAGCTGGTTCAATTGCGCGTAAAGTGTGCACGTTACTGAAAGAAACAAACATTTCAAACAAAGAACTAACACGAACATTTTGTGAAAGTTTTAATATTGATAGAATATCTCGATCAGAATGTATTATTGGAATGCTAGCCTCAATAGTTTTTCTCACTGCAAAAAAAAAAAAAATAAATTTATTAATTATAAAATGAAAAAGAAAATCTATGAAATAGGAATCATAAAAATATACGTACTAATATTGTAGTCTCTGACATAAAAAGCGATATTATTAAAATTATATTCGTCATATTTTCCATAATTTCGATTAATATCTGTATTAACTTTTTTTATATCATTTATATGTATTATATCAGGATGGTATTCAATGAAAGGTATTGGACTAAATATTTGATATTGATTAATAGTATTCATACGAACCTAAATATTAAATGTTTGATTAATTTTTATGTATGAAGTTTTTTAAATAATAATAATAGTAATTTTTTTAATAATGCATATACTCTATTTAAATAATCCAATCGAAGTTGTATTCCTGTTTCGACAAAAAGTATCAAACTTTCAGATGTAAACTTTCTCATACATAAATCTGTAACAGCAATATTCAGCAATTGATTTGTTTTAATAGATGTTATAATATTTGGTAAACGTATAGAAAGCCAAGTAATTTTTGATTGTTGTTTTTTATATTTTTCAGCTAAAAATAGCGCATATTGTTTAATTTCATAATATATGTCTTCTCGACCTTTTGATGCAGAGTCAAAATTATATAAGAGAACCTAAATAACAATTTAACAATATCAAAAGAAATATATATATATATAAAAGATTTTCTAAAATAATATCTAGCAAAAAATACTAACCATCATAAGAAAAGTTTTATACTTTTTTTCCATACAATCTAAAGCATATTGCTCCAAAAAATTCAATGCATCCTGTTTCTTTGATAAATTTATAATTAATATTATATTTATTCTAGTGTTTTCTGTTACATATGGAACAGGCAAAATTTCAACTTTACCAAGTGGTTTACACACTTCAATCCTCTTTCTTAATGTTTTCTTGGTACTAATATTGATAAATTCTAAATCTAATATATAATCCATTCCTCGAGATGCATCAAATCTTTGATACCCATTCAATAATTTATTGAATTTTAATGCAATTTGACTATTAAAAATAATATTAACGACTGTAATATTAATTATTCGATCTATATCAAATTTAACATCGGTTTTTAATTCTTGTATAGTTGAAAAATCAGTATTCAAAAATAGATGAGTCTGATTAAAATATGTCCATCGTAAAATATCGAAACGTCCAATAGCATTATTTCCTGGTTGATTACCGATAGGCCAAGAAACGTTACGTTGTTGTAAAGGACCTAAATTTTGCATATTTAAAATTGTTTTTCGAATATTTAAAATTTTTTTTTGAATCTCAATAGTTTTTACCTAAAACCATTAATGAATAAAAATTATAATTTATTCCCATAAATCTCAAATTATATTACAATACAATATGTACAATTATATAATTATTATATAATATAATTGTCAATATTATATAATAATCTATATAATAAAGCATATTTATTTATATAAGATAATTAATTT